CCAATCCTCTGATAATGGGAGCAGAAAGATAGAAAAGCTAGATCTGGGCCCAAAACCAAGTCAACCATTTGCATGACAATTTTAAAGACAGAGAAAGGTCTAGAAGATGATTTGCTTTGCAGAGTTATGAAGACATGAATTTTCATTGTGCCTTGGCCACTCATAATTATTTTTTAAAACTAACAAAGAACAGTCAAGATATGGATCCATTATAAGAAGGGGAGCAAATATGGAATCAATCTTTGCTGCAAGAGCCCAGAAATTACTGTCTAATAATGAAACCATTTGAAGAGAGAAAAATCTGAAAACATTTAGAGGGACAATGAAATCATAAGCAATAAGGAGAAAGATTTGTGAATATCAAACCCTGCCAAGTCCAAAGTCCCCGCCCCACCCCCCACCACTAGGATTTCAAAATCATTAGAGGGAGTAAATGTTGTAGAAAGCCACCTCACATTTGGAAAGGCAATGGATGATGAGGATAGGAAAGAATAACAGCAATCATTAAATCTAGAAGGGAATTTTGAGAGCATCTGTCTAACTGTCCAATGCAATAGATGAAGAAAGAGAGATCCAGAGGGGCTAAGAGGTTCGTCCTTGTTCAGAATTTCCAGCTGCCCCTGAAGAGTCCTTCCCACCGCCCTGCACTCTGCTACGGTTCACATGCAGGGGGAACAAACCCCAACTGAAATATTTGGGTTGTGCATACAAGGACAAAATAATATTCAGATGTCCAGTAAATATGAACCCCTTCCTCCAAAGCTTCTAATGTCAAAAAGAAAGAGGGATATTAAGTCTTCACATCTGATGGCATCGTGGAGACTGGGTCCTGATGTGTTTATTCATTTGATCACAGTGTAAATTCCAGAGCACTCATTCCTTCTCCCATCCCATTAAGCCAGGAGGGTTAATACCAGCAGGAATTTTCTAGGGAGATGATGCATGCCTTTCACTGAGGACATTTCTTACCTTTCGAAAATTATTTAGGTGAAATAGAACCCCTGCACTCTACTGTCCTAAGATTATAAGAAAGATATTTTATTGGCACTTACCATGTATAGGTTTTTAACTACGTATTATGGAATTAGCGAGTATATACCAAAGTAGGCAGAATAGCATAATAAACCTTTGTGTGCCCATCACTCAGCCTCAACAATATCACTTCAGAGTCAATCTTACTTCGTCAATACTTCTACTCACCTCCTCCCTTCCTTGTTATTCCAAAGCTGATCCCAGATGATACCATGTGACTTTATAAATAGTTTAGCAAATATTTCTAAAAGATGAGTACTTTAAAAAATTATCATAATGCAATTACCAAACACCTAAGAAAATAAACAGTGGTTAAATAATATCATGAAATGCCCAGACAGTATTCAGAATTCCATGAACTCATGAAATATGATCTCTTTTGACAGTTTGTTTAAACTGGAAGCAAAATGTGGTCCTTTTATCTCTTAAGTCTCTTTTAATGTACAGTTTCACCCCCTCCCCTGCCTTTCTTTCCTTGCATTTTATTTGTTAAAGCCACCACACAGGTGGTGTGCCCAGAATTTCCCGCAGTCTGTGTTTTCCTGAATGAACCCAGTGTACCTCCTTATTTTGTGGTGTTGGGACAAGAGCTGAGCTACCCCGTATGGTAACCACTAGCCACACGGAGCTATTTAGATACAAGTTAAATTAAAGATGCAGTTTCTCTGTCACATCAGCCACATTTCAGGGGCTTAGTAGCCACATGTGGCTAGGGGCTACCAAATCGGACAGCACAGATATAGAATATTGCCACCACCGCAGAAATTTGTACTAGACAGCACTCCACTAGTGGCTTCTAAAGGGCCATGGGGTAGCTTTGGAGAGAAGGAAGAATAAAATTTCAGCCAGCTAGCCTTTAATTCAAAATTGAGCTTCTGCATTCTATTTACTTTAAACCTCTGCACCTGGACATTGAAAATGAAATAAAAATTCAAGGGATCTGTGTGTTTTTATACTTTTATAAATAGTATATTTACAAGGACTTTTATTCACTTTTGTTTTCCAACTTTTTTTTTATATTTAACCACACTGATATATTATGTGTAGCTTTTCCCTTTTGACAGATGTATAATATTCTGTTGTTTGACTGTATCACAACTGATTAATTATACCTTTAACATTTAGATTGTTTTCAGTCTTCTGAGCTTCAAGGAACATCGTTATACATCCTCGGCCTCCTGCTACAAATGAGTAAAGGAGGCAACCTGAACACAATCTCTGGGGCATTAAGCATGCCCATCTTCAGTGCCAGTGGTCACTGCCCAGCTGCTCTCTGATATGATGATATGAGTTTCCACTCCCACCAACAGTGTGCAAGGGTCCCCACTTCCTTACAGCATCACCAGCATTAGGTGGTTTCAGCCTGGTCATTTTTCCTAATATGGGTTCAAGCATATGCAGTAAAAGTATAAATACAAGCATGGGAAGGGAAGAGGAGGGGAGGGAAGAGAAGGGAAAGGAGAAAGGAGCACTGATTGAGCTAAACCTATAATATTTTCTTTCCTTAAAAAAAAATAATGCATATGTGGTGAAAGTTAACATTTGTTCAATGTGAATGGTGGGTGCAAAGTAGTTGTTAATAATATTTTTAGTACTGTTTGGTACATTTACACTACTCAGAATCAACTGATTTCATAATCACTTTGCAATGCAAGGGCTTAATAAAATATATACAGCATAGAATAAATTACTGAATACGGTATTATCTACTAGGTTTTGTTTGTTTGTTTTTGGCACTTCATGATAAAAAGAAAACACAGCAAGAGACAAGCCAGTGCTTGTGTTGATCCCCAGTGACCCGCAGCTCATAGAGTTTTCCAGGTTTATTCAGCTGGAATATTGCCAGGTAATTGCCTAAAAATGTTTTACTTTTTACCTGTATGCTATATGATACATTCCATAGCGCTTTCTTCCCCAAAGATGAGATAAACTGATAAAAAGGTAAACTGCAGATGCCGTCTGTATTGGGAAGAATGCCTGAGGTCTGTGGAGAACCTCCGACTCATTCTCATTTACTCACCAACTGGGCAGACAAGGTAGATTGCCTGGCTGGGACCTGGAGGCTTGCGAGCTCTTCCTGTCGCTCTGTTTGCAGTGGTTGCTTTAGAATCCAAACTAGATCTCTTCTAGAGAAGCCTGTGATTCTAAGGCAGCAATGATTAGTGTGGTTCATCAGTCCAAAAACAAATTTCAAATGACGCCCATGGGCAAGGCAGCATGCCACGTTGTGTGAGGGACATAAAGATGGACAAAAATTTGCCTCCCCATCTGAGAACATACAATTGAGCAACCTTTTTCCTTTCACAACACCAACTACAAACAATTTATTTTTATACTCAGAAGCTCACTCAGGCTTTGTTCTATTTTGATCTTTATAACTTATTTTAAAGATTGTTCAGTAGTTATTCATTGCTCAGTAAGTCTTACAATGACCTTGGGCCGAAAGCAGTAACATTTTGACCTGTCCTGTGGGACTTAGAGCTTCCCACTCCATAAAGCCAGGGGCGTAAATAACTTCAAATGATCCCCTCTTGGAGTTCTGTGTCAGGCACAGCATGGGAGGGAAAGGGGGGTGAAGCAGGGAAAGGAATAAAGTGGAAGTGCCCCAGAATAAGCAAGAGTGGTATCCATGTTTTCAGCATTTTTATTCCTCATTTCCCTTAAGATAATTTACTCCGCCTCTCTACTGGTTGAAAAAAACCTGGAATAACACAGCAAACCATGATGCCAGAATAAACACATTTCCTTTCAGTCTCAGTAATGTTTAGTAAGGGTCGGCATCTTCTCCATGGGCGTCCTTGGGGTTGAGCATTTAGGGTGCATCACAGCAGCAAAAAAACTAAGTGAGGACACACCTCTTGGGTTCATAAAAAGGGAGGGGCCAGTGTGGAGATGGGGCAGCAGAGTATGTGTGAGTGCCCGCGAGTGCACGCACATGCGCGTGGGCACACACATTGTTGTACATGCGTGTCTGCTCAGGAACAGCACAGGGAGAAAGAATGACCTAAAGGAGGAAAGGTCTGCTACGTCTTGAAGCCATTCATACTTCACAGTGTCTGAACTTGCAGGGGAAGGGGTTCTGAAGGCTGCTTAGTGGTGGCAATACCGGACTTCTGGAGACTAGAAGTTTGACTCTGACAGTAGAAGTGCATCTGGCCAGTAGGACATGAAAAGAACTCTTTGCAGACAACAGACAGCCCAGTACGGGGAGTGTGAATGACTCAGAAACATCTGGCTGATTTTCCTCAAGGTTTCCAGAGGATGAATTGGTTAGTCATTCAGTCAGTGGGACACTTCAGGCAGCTTGACAAATCCAGAACACTGGGGGCACAAATTAGAGAAATGGTGTCATCTCAAATAGAGTGTCCCAGAAAATAATCCCCCTTTCTGTCAGTAGAGGAGGATTAGAGGTAAGGGGGTTCGTGTACAAGGTGTGTCAAGGTCAAGGTGTGTCTTTTGTGAGGTTGGTAGTAGGTATGAATGATCCAGATTGCTTTTTATAAAGGACTATTTGTCATTTTTTGCATCCGACATCTACAAAAAGAGAAAGCATAACCTAATCCTAAATTCGGTCAGATCAAATGTCACAGGGCTGAATAAAAAAAAAAAAAAGTTATAATAGGGAAAGGTCATGGGAACACCAAGTCTGACCTTGACCACCAGGGCAGAGTATCCTACAAGGTGTGAGCTTCAGTTTCTAAGTCTCAAAAACAGCAACAAGGGTATTTCACAGAATTGTTGTGAAGATTGAAATGGTATAAAAGGAATGCCATGTACACTGAAGATACTTACTATTTTTATTATTTTCAATTTCCATAAAGAGAAAGGAAGAATAGATACTGGGTCGCATCCATAGCGTTGCTTTTCCAGGATCGTCACGGCCAAGTACAGTGCCAGTCGTCCCTACACAGGCTGGGTTTCGGGCAGCTTGCCTCTGGTGCTCAACCTTCTCTCTTCCCCTCCTGCAGCCAGCTCCTCCCTGAAGAAGCGATTCAAGCGGCGGGAGATCGAGGCCATCCAGTGCGAGGTGCGCAAGATGTGCAACTACTCCAAGATCCTGTCCACCAAGAAGAACCTGGACCACGTGAACAAGATCCTGAAGGCCAAGCGGCTGCAGAGACAATCAAAGACAGGCAACAACTTCGTCAAGAAGAGGAGAGGGCGTCCGCGAAAGCAGCCCACGCAGTTCGATGAGGACTCCAGAGACCAAATGCCGGTGCTGGAAAAATGCATCGACCTTCCCAGCAAGAGGGGGCAGAAGCCGAGCCTGAGCCCGCTTGTCTTGGAGCCAGCAGCCACTCAAGACACCATCATGGCTACCATCGAGGCGGTCATCCACATGGCCCGGGAGGCGCCGCCCCTGCCCCCGCCGCCCCCGCCGCCCCTCCCGCCCCCGCCTCCACCGCCGCCCCCACCTCCCCCACCCCTGCCCAAGACCCCCAGAGGAGGAGGGAAGAGGAAACACAAACCTCAGCCTACTGCTCAGCCCCTGCAGCAGCCGCCCCCGCAGCAGCCCCTGCCCCAGGAAGAGGAGGTGAAGGCCAAAAGGCAGAGGAAGTCCCGAGGGAGTGAGAGTGATGGCCTTCCCTAGGGTGGGTCTGGGCGTCTGAACCTGGGGCTGGGGGAACTGACACATTGGAAGTGCAGTGAGCCGGGGTGGGGGCGGAATCCCACACTGCAGGGACACCGATGCCCTTCTCTCCAGAAGCTGGGCAGGCAGAATCGCGCCCGATGACGGGGTGGAGCCATCAGTAGCTCTTGGGAAAGCAAAGCAGGGGGACGCCTTCAAAAGGAGCTTGTCTGTGCTTTACAGCAGTTGCAAACCACGTGGCACTTCAGTATGGCTAGATCCTTTGCAGGCGAGCAGAAGACCCATGGAGGAGCAGAAAGCCGGTGGTGCTCTCCGACAGCCACCCGACCTCCTGCATCCAAGGTGCGTCTCTGATTCCATTGCATTTGCTGGCCAGGAAAATCGAAAGGGAAGCACCCTCAATTAGGAAACATTCCAAGGGGAGAAAAGCTGCAAATTTCTCGACTGGCTTTGTTGTGACCCATTTCCATTTAATTGGTTTTTACTTTTATTTTGGTTTTTCCAAGCTCGGCTAGGCTTCGGGGCACCAACATCACCTTCAGGTGACCCGAATCTTTCCGTTAACCATACAGTTGCTCAGATGGATTCGTCATCAGAAGGTGGAATGCTAGTGATAGGCAACCTTAGACGTGGATCCAGATCCTTCTGGATGCCTCCTCTGTACCACACACTGATACTTAGTGTAGTTGATTCCTAGTTTTCCTTTGCCCGTTGTACTTCCCTATACCTTTTCATTAACTTACTTGTTGCCTTCTTTTCCTTGGTACACACCTAAATAATGTAAACTTTATGTGTGTTGTAATGTTCACCCTTGGCATGCTGTCTCAAGGAACTTGGCTTTGAATCCCAATCATTGTGAGACAGATACTCAGTATTGATAGAGCCTTTTTAATAAGTGATTTAGAGCAGCCGAGGATATGTTGGCCGGGGTGTCAACCAGGTTATTTTTATACTTAAAACATATCAGCAGAGAATAGGCAGAATAAAATGGTTTTAATAACCCACAGCAAATGGAATAACTGACAAATCACCAAAAATTGAAACCCCAGACCCACCAGAAAGACAAATGTCTAGCAATGCCTTGGTATGTGAATTTTCATACAAGTAACTATCGTAAGTCATTGAAAAAAGGAAACAACAAGACAATAGAATAAGTCCATTATCTCTTGGTAATTATTTCTTAAAAGCAAATGGGAGTAAGTGTTCTTATCTGGAAAAAAAAAAAGAAAGAAAGAAAGAAAAGAAAATGCTCAAAGGGTATCACCACTCCAATTGTATCAAGCCACCTTGGACAAAGTATCCAAATTGTGGTTGCCTTAATAAACTAAAACATTTTTGTACATAATGTAATTATAAATCTATCAGTCTGCATGGATGCAAACTGTGTGTGACAAATCGTCTTTTAAATGGTCAATTTCAACTGTACATTTCTCATCCAAGTTGTACTCTAGCCATCGGTTTAGCGTGGACAGATATTCCATCTCTAACACCCATTTCCACAGCTCAAGTGAAACATGTTAAGAAGACTCAGAATGAATATGAAGTTATTCCATCGCCGTAGATGTTTTCTAAAAGTCAGATGTGGAAATTTCAAATAAGTATTTTCAATTTCCTCCCTTCCTCCTCCCCTTACCTTCCCCAAGACATCAAACACCTGGCATGGTAGATTATAAAAAGAGAGACACTGAGAGACAGAATTCAATTTTCTAATGGGAATTAGAATATCTGGTTTACCTCCAAATTAAGGTTCTTTACAGGAACTTGGGACTGGCTGGAAATTGTATTATCACTTCAAAACACAACACCATTTCCTTAGAGAGAGATGGATTTTTGTTGGGAACACAGGAGAATAAGGGATGGGGTATCTATGGGAGTAAATTTTAAAAATCCCAAGTTAATATGCTTGCGAACATCACTGCTCTGTCATGGCACCAACAATTGGTTGAAATTACCCACAGAGCCATCCTATTCTGCCCTGTCACCTTGGACTTAACATCATTTGCTCCCCACTAGGTCAGTCACATTTAATCCTAGTAATATGTAAGTTTAAAGGGATGCATTCTCCTGTACTTTAAAGCTTATATCATAGATACTCCGTTTGTGACCTAGGTGGACCTTTGGCATTTCACACAAGTTGAACAGCAAAATCAAACCAGCCACTTTCAATTTGTCATTCCCAAGCCATGTCTGAGTGGTTCTAAAGTCACCAGAGAGGAAGATTTAAATTAGCCCCGCTCACCCCACCATTGCTATGAAAGAGCAACCATTTTCATTCCAATTAAACCATAAAGGGATTTCTCTCCTGTCAGGCCTTGAAAAATCATTTCCTTCATTCTTGCATTTGCCCTTCTTCCAAGCATTTCCCCAACCAAGACTGTGAGCAGACTAAACCTTCCTGCAGACGAGAATGAGCTGGCCCCTCTCTAAACTTCTTAAAGAAGGACCCAACCCCTAATTGACATTAACCTCTAGTTGGAGAGAAATTTCAGAAAAGTTAAGGATGCATTAGAATTTCCAGACCAAGGTAAGGCATTCCTGGAGGGATACAGCAGGCTTCTCACTTATACATAAACTCAGTTCTACAGTTGTCATGTGACTTAAATGCAAATCCTCCATACTTAGGACCCTAAAAATAGATTAGGAAACTGCAGAGGACCCAGGGTGAGACATGCTGAATAAGCCCATGGAAGGTGGAAGCAAGTCCCAGCACCTGCCAACTTCCTCCCTCCCCTGCCCAGCACCCCTTCAGTGTCACGTGACGTTTCCCTTTTTCTTCTACCTTCCATTAACTTAACTCCTCTCACTGGTACAACCTTCTCCTTATTCTCTAACTAACCCCTTCCCATTAGCCTCACCTCTCCTGTCCAGGCTCAACACTGGGCCAGTCTAGTTTCACCTCTCATTTGCTGCAGACCCAGGATGAGAACCCCAGCAATCTTGACCTGGACCGAGGCATCTCTAGCCAGTCAACACTGCCTTCTGGGGCTGCATTTTCATTTAGGGAAGATGTCATTTGGGATGTATAGGACTCCATAAACACCTCCACAAATTATTTCATTAGAAATCTTTTGTTTTGTTTTGTTTTTCTGGAATACTTTCCTTCAGCAAACAGGCGTGAACCCACTTATAGAGAGTCTGATTAGGGGTGAGCAGAGGATAAACTGAGATGCAAAAGCCTCCTTCTAGGTGATGATGGGTCTTCTGATCTACCCTCCTTAGTGGCTGAGGAGCCACTTGCTTTTCAACCCCTCATCTCAGATGAAAGATCCAGAAGTCTGACTTCCTCAAATAGCATGGCTCTGGCTACAACCCAGGGAAGATAGGTCAAAAGAAAGGAGAGCATGTCAGGGGCTGGGTTGTGACTTGGCAGGACCGGGACTCAACAACCACTGACAGCCCAGAGTAGGTGACTAAGGGCTGACAGAGGATTAGCATGTTAACTTGGCTACTGTCCGGAGTGGGAGGCCATGTTCCATGGCAGCCGGAATTTGTGCTCTGCACATTGCTGGCTCTATAAATATGATAAGCAAGTGGTGACAGAATTATAGTATCAGGTGATGTACTACATGCAGATCATAAAGGATTTGGGTTTAGTACTTTTGGAGAAAAATCCCACTCCTACAGCTTATTACCCAACGATATTCAGACAATGAGTTTTTGAGAATATTTTTTTCCTACCACTAGGAAGATTTACCTGGGAACTGTCTGAAGTCTATACATATATTTCCAAAGCCTTTAAATGCCAACTGTAGCATGGAGAGAGACGGGGTGGCAGAAGCCGAAATGCCTCAGAAGCCATTTAAGTGTTACATTGCGGGATTTTCAGTCCTTTTCATCATGTAAGAGTAGATAAATATAGACATTATTCTCAACACTACCCTCTAGTATCACAATGGTCCAAATGCCAGAGCTTACAGATAATGTCATCACAGTGCCTAGAAACTCAAACTGTAATATACCGTAGCATTTTCTTGGTGTTTTTTAAAGTTTCTTTCCACAATACAAGGCTCCCTCTGCCTCTTGTTTCTTGGAGAGTTTGCCCCACTGATGAGTCTTCCCTCCTGTGGGACTCGGTCATTTGGGGAACAGTCTTAGAAGCACATATCAACCAAGGAAGAAACTTCCTGGATATCGATTACCCACTTCCCCAGGTATAATAAACACTACAGGGGGGAAGGATTGAGAAGAGCTGCCACCGGTCAACACTGAAGGGCAGTTCCAACCTAGGTTGGTGTCTTTCTTTTCTTCCTTTTTTAAAAAATCTATTTCTTAAATAATAATAAATGCACATGATGTGTTAAATATGTATATATATATTTCAAAAGAAAAAAAATGGGGCACAAGATTGTCTTATAAGTCGTGCTGGCTAATTTTTAGTTTGTATTCATAAGTGGTTTTTAAAAGCCTTTTTTAAAGTGTAATTTGCATGTTCTACTTTGATTGTATGTAAACATATTTTAGAACAAAAAATGTATTTGTATTTTATTGAATATAGAGGCAAGAAAATTGTACATTGTTTGAAATGTTCTTTTTGTAACAGTTTTTATTCATAAAGCATTTTTGTACATTTAAAATGAACACGGACTTGCTGTTATTTGAGGCGTAGATACATCTGGCATGCTTTACTGTCATGCTCCTCCATGGTCTTAGATGTTGGGTTTTAAACATTTTTTCTAAAAGAAAGCTCAGTCTTTTTCGCTACCAGATCAGGTTAGCACAGTATAGAGCACTTAACTATTAAAAAAAAAAAAGTTAATCCTATTCATATGTTATTCATTGTGTGAAATTAAAGACATTCAATTCAGTCTAACATGAGTTGTGAATTCTTTTGTTTTATTTTCCATCTGGTTCACATCACTAAGGAGTTTAATAGTATTTGGGGGGTCTTTGCTCACACAAACTGGACATAGAATCATTGAGAAAATTCTAACCAAACTTCTGCCTTTTGTCTGAATCTGGGAAGAATGTTTGGCGCAGGATTTGAGACTGATTTACTGGGT